CGCTCTCTTTCTTTGTGTATATATATATATATATATGTGTGTGTGTGTGTGTGTGTGTGTGTGTGTGTGTGTGTGTGTGTGTCATACTCAGCTATTTACTGGAGGTTAGGAATAAAACCGGAAAACAGCTATCAGATATGACATCATGGCATTATGTGCAAAGAGCACATTCTGGGCGGAAACTTTCAATCTTGGTTTCTCTGTTGCCATCATTTTATTGAACACATCTGTCTGCCCGGTGAAGCTTTACAACAGCAACAAAGCAGCCCTCAGACAACAAAACACCTGAGTGAGAGTGCACCAGCCAGTCAAAAGTGTCTGGAAGCGAGGAGGTGTTAGCTACCTAACTCGTAGAACCAAGTATGGTTTGCTCAATTTGACTTCCCAAGTGTGGACATGAAGGACTTTGTCCACGAACAAAGGTACCATGGTGCTAATTAACATCATGGTGTGGTAGACTCTTGGCTTCTGTCCAGTTTGTGAAACTTCTGTGACTCAGGCAAACTAAATGCAGCTTCTCACCATTCAAGCCACAAATCCATATGATGCGGAAAGCAACGTTGCCTTTGCGCTTGTGTGTGGTGGTGGATCTGCCGCTGCGCACGTCTTGTTAGCTACGGATTTCAGGTACGGTTTGAGGTTGATTGAGCCATAATTGATTCTTGGAATTGCTATGGTGTGAGTCCTGTTTTAACAACAACAACAACAATGGAAAGAAGAAAATTAACAAATAAATGAGAAGAACAACGTAAGAAAATTGGCGTCCTGGAGTGCCACTGTCAGCTTAAACTGATTGCGATGCAACGGCATTACTTAAAGAGAACAATTCATACAAGACATCCTAAGAATATTGCTGAACCAAAACGTTTTGGAAAGACCATTATATACTTGCGACCATTGTTCACGGCTGATCTGCAACAACGGGGAACTTTTGGTTGAGATTATTGCTGCCAAAGAAAGTATGACAAATGATCAGTGTTTAAAGAGTCACATCCCTTTTCCACCCTGCGTAGACCTTTACATGTTATTTTAAGACAAATTGTTGTGACTTGCAGACAATGCAGACACCCAGATATTACATTTTTTTTATACATTTGACATTTTTTCTCCAGGTATATGGTACAACATTTTTTTTTTTTATATATTTGACATTTTTTCTCCAGGTATATGGTACAACATCCTGAGAGGAGTTGCCAAAGTGGCTGTCATTATCAATGTAAGTAAAAACAATTTCTACTTAGAACTGGGCAATAATATAATATCAATACTGTATGTATCACGATAGACATGTGATCTAGATCAATAGAAAATGCCTTCGATTAAATGTTCGATAGATAAAATTTATGCAGCAAATCCCGACCCCAGCATTGTGCAGCTGACTCCAAACACGAAGAAGTAGCTAAACCAACAAAGAAGAAGCTAAACCAACAAAGAAGAAGCTAAACCAATGAAGCAGAAGCAACCAAACCAATGATGAAGTGCACATACTCATGCGAACGAGACTATGGCGTAACTTTGTTCAATAGTAATGAATGCACTGCAAGTGAGTATTAGTTGACTACACTC